AGGACCTATTTATTAACATTGTTAAGTTATTATTTAGTAGCATTAATGCTATTATTATTAATGCTATTTAATGCTACTAGCATTATTAACTTGCATTATTAAATGCTAAACGTGTCTTTACTTTTCTTGCATACACCCCCCAAAATATTTCAACGGGTTTTTTGATTTCTGTCTAAGCCCGTGCCTTAATTTATATTAGTCTTATGAGGGGTTGATGTAATTAATTATTCCGCATTTATTTTATCATCTTAACAGCAAATAACAATATAAATAGACATAATAATGAGTTAATTACTATTTTAATGAGTAAAAGGTCCTACTGGGATTTGAACCCAGGTCGGCGGATTCAGAGTCCGCAGTGCTAACCACTACACCATAGAACCGTCGACGCTCCGGGTGTTTATAGAAAAAAATATCTAAATAATATATTTATATTACTTTGCTGGCTTTATTAAGATGCCTACGAAGTATTACTGTGGAGTGTTGGTATTATTGTGCAGTATTGCTGGTTTTTTATTATTATTACGCTGTCTACAAGTATAACTATTTATTATTACTGATACACCTGTTTGATATATCCTTTATTGTAGATACAAATGTTATACATACATATATATACATTATATGTAATATATATGTACATATATATATGTATATATATTATTGGTATAGTATCAGCCCATTAGACAGTAATATATATCTATTCAAAACGTCTATTCATGTATATGTATATATATAATATATATATAATATATGTATATATATATATATATATATACAAAAAATACTTCAATGTACCTCTTAATAAAGTCTTCAAATCTTAAACAAAAAACTGTTTCCTCTACACCACAACGATTCCGTTGTTTGCTATGCATGCATTTTACTCTTAGCGCTGCACAGTAGAGACCTTTCACGAGATTAATTATAATATGCGGGCCGACAGCCATAGGGAGTTGAGAGGCCCCTTGGTGGGGGCCCCCTGGGGGCCCCTGAGGGCCCCCCCTTGTTTGTCTCTTCTGGGGGGCCCCACCCTAAGGCCTCCTTAAGGAGGTTGCTTACAGACGCATAACAACTGCTGCAGGGGCTGTGTCTCTTTCTGAATTAGCGGCAGCTAAAGGCGTTTGTATTATCTGCAAAGAGACAGAACATGAAAGAGAAAGGGGGAGACACATAAGCTATTTTATTTGGCTTATGAAGGAGACAGGAAACAGGATAAAGATAGAAAAACAGACAAACTCATCATCATAAGGGCCCCCCCGCATGCACAATACCTGCTTCATTCCTCTGTCTCCTTCTAAGAGAAAGGCGACAATGTCTCTGCTGTCTCTGCTGCTGCTCCTGCTGCTCCAGAAGTCTTCATTGCAGAGACAAAGGCAGACAGGTTTATTTGCATCTACTGTGGCCTCAAATTCTTTAATATTTTCTTCTGCTGCTGCGTAGTGTACATACACCCCACAACTCAGCAATCAATGTAGACCCCTTAATGAACAAAGAGGGGGAGGAGAGACAGAGACAAAGATAATTCTGCAGCTCTTCTCTCTCTGTCTGTCTGTCTCTGTCTCTGTCTCTGTCTCTGTCTCTCTCTCTCTCTCTCTATATATATATATATATATACACGTATATATATGCATATATATATGTATATATACATATATCTGTTTGTTTTCTTGTGTTTACTGAGGGGCCCTACTCACTGGAGGTGGTTTGGAGGGTAGAAGGAGAGGAGACAGCGGCAAACAAACCCTGAAAAAAGAAAGGAGACACTCGAACTCAGTGGGGAGACAGTAAAAGCAAAGAAAGAGACAATAAAAACAAAGAAAGAGACAATAAAAACAAGGGAGGAGACAGTTGTTTAGGGTCTGCAAAGTTTTTATAGATATATAATTTCTATAAGGGGTTTATTTAATAGAAGATATAAACTGCTAATCGACAGAACAAACTGAAAAGAGACATTTCTTTTGTTGCATGCACTTATAGAGTGTATGTACACTAATGTATGTAATATATAATATATAATATATAATATATAATGTATAATATATAATGTATAATATATAATATATAATATATAATATATTATATATAATATATAGTATATAGTATGTGATATATAGTACATAATATATAATATATAATATATAATGTATTGTGCATAATATATAAAATATATATATATATATATATATATATATTATATACAGCTTAATGTATATCTATAGACGCGTTGAATATTAAAACCTACTTGGGGGAGCAGCAGGGCCTTTGCTGCTCCTTTTTGCTTCAAGTAAATGCGGCAGGAGCAGCAAAGTTTGTCTCCTTGCTGCTGCTGCTGCTGCTGCTGCTGCTGGGGGCCCCCCTCCGCTATGGGGGCCCCCTCAGGGTTGGGGGCCCCCAACACGAGACCCACCGCTACTGCTGCCTGTCTCCTCTCTTCTGTTGTCAGCCGCTTCAAGGCCTATGCAACAAAGCACACACAGACCTTTGCTGCTGCTGCTGCTGCTGCTGCTTCTACTGGTGCTGCTACTGGTGCTACTGGTGGTGATGCTGCTACTAGTACTGCTGCTGTTGCTGCTGCTCCTACTCGTGCTGCTGCTGCTGCTGGTAATGGTGTTGCTTATGTAGCTGCTGCTGATGGTGGTGCTATTGGTGATGGTGCTGCTGCTGCTGCTGCTGCTGCTGCTGCTGCTGGTCTTGGCAGCTGTCTCGTGCAGATGTAAAAGGAGTAATTGAGAGAGAGGCAGCAGTTAGGAGATGAACAAATGCAGAAAAAATACAACATAGAGAGACATACGGAGCGAAACAAACAAAGAGAGACAAAGACTGAGATATAGATAAAGAAACAGAGTAAAATATATTATATATATATTATATACATTGGTAGATAGATAGAGAAGCATACATAGATATATAAATGTGCATATACGTAGATAGATAGAGATAAAGAGAGAGAGAAAGAGATGGAGAGGGAGAGAGACAGAAAGAGACAGAGAGAAGGAGAGACAGAGAGACAGGCTGAAGATACACCGCAGCAACTAACTTTCTGCATTGCTGCTTCAATTGCTCTTTCTGGGTTTCTCCTAGCCCGCAACTCCGCCAGCAACCAAACTGCAGCAAAAGAGAAAAACAGTTAAATATAAAATATATTTAAACAAAGACGGGGCCCTCAGGGAGGGAGAGGCCCTCATTGCTGCTAACCCATAGCGCGTCAGCTTGCCGATACAGAACCTGCTGCTGCTGCTGCTGTTGCTGTTGCTGCTGCTGCTGTTGTTGTTCTTGCTGTTGTTTTTGCTGCTGCTGCTGTTGTGCGGCTACCGCTCACTGCCACAGGGGAGTGGCTCTGCATCGTAAACCCCCGTCTGCAACAGCAGCAGCAGCAGCAGTAGCAAGAGCAGCGGCAGCAACAGCAGCAGGAGCAAGAGCAGCGACTGAGGGCAGCTCACCTGCTGCTTCGGCATAAGGGGCCCCCACAGATTGGGGGCCCCCTGTGGGGCCTTCATAGAATAGGAGGAGGCGGAGACCAGGGGCCCTGTACATACACCCGAAGAAGACAGTAGTAGACATAAGTCATTAAACAGATAAAAGAAAAAAAATAAAAGATAGCAAAGAAACAAACAACAATAAAAACAAAGCAGAGACAGATAAATAAATTAGAGTCAGAGAATAATAACAAAAAGAAAAAGACAAAAAATTATTTAAACAGAAAACAGCAAATGGGGTCAAACAATAAAAAAGAGAAAAAACAACACGAAAGAAAAGGAAGTATATATACATATATATAATATACAATATATATATAATGTTATATATTATATAATATATATATATATTATATACAGCATATATAATATATTATATATAGTATATAATATATAATATATATAAGATATATATATATATATATATACATAAATTATGTGGATAGCAGGAAGGAGAAGAAGACAACGAAAATAAAAGGAGGGGCCCTTAACTCACTGACACACAAACACCCCTTGCTGCATCTCGCGGCTGTCTCCTGTGGGGCCCTCCCTTCCCTTCTGCTGCTGCTGCTGCTGCTGCTGCTGCTGCAAATATATTTTCAGCCCCCAGCTGATGCTGCAGCTTTCTGCTTCTTCTACCGAAGGAAACCCGCATAACCTGATGCTGGGGGTTTCTTCTAAGGGGTCTCTAGGGGGCCCCTCATCACTGGGGGCCCCTACCTCAGGGGCCCCTAACTGTGGGGCCCCTGGGGGGCCCCCTGGGGGCCCCTGGAGAGGGGCAGTCCATAGGGCCCACTGCACATTTAGACGCTGCAGATTGCGGGGGTTGCAGAGACACCTCGAGGGTTGAGGGGGGGCCCCCGTTGTGTCTCTGGTGGAGGCGTAGGGGGCCCCCTCAGCAGTAGCTGATTGATCTTTAATAGATGTCTGCTCTAGAGGGTACAGCGCGACAGCTGGGGAGTAGACAGGGGCCCCCTCGGCCTCAGGAGGCTGAGAGGGGGGCCCCGAGGGGCCCGCAAGGCCCTCACATGTCTCTAACTGGGGGCTCCATAAGGTGCTGCCCTCTGTAGTGTTTAAAGGGTCGATGCGGGGGGCCCCCAAGGGCCCCGCAGTCTCTGGAGGCCCCCCAACGGAGACATCTGAAGACAGAGGCCAGGTGTCTGCTGTAGCGGGGTGTAACGGCAGCTCAGACGAGATGGGGGGGGCCCCCACACCCTGATGGGGGGCCCCCTTAGGGGCCCCTGGGGGCCCCTCTTCAGCGTCGTTACTACAACTAGGTATAGGGGCTACGTGAGGGTTGATGGCTGCTGTGCTGCTTCCCTGCATGCGTTTGTCTGCTGCAACAAGGAGGGTGGAGTCTCCTGAGGGGCCCCCTGAATGGGGGGCCCCTTGGGGGGCACCTACGGGGGCCCCTGTAGGGGGAAGTAGCTCTGCTGCTGTATCCCTTAATACATTTGGTTCTGTGCTGCTGCAGACAGGAGGAGGGGGCCCCCTGTGTCTCTGTAGTTTGTCTTGTAGCGGTGCGGCTGCTGATGGCGGTAATAAGCTGCTGCAGCTGCTGTCTCCTTCTTGTCTGTTGTCTCTGTCTGCTGCTGCTGTTGCTGCTGCTGTTGCTGCTGCTTGTTTGTCTCTGTCTCCTCTCTCTGCTGCAGTCTCTCTGTCTCTTATCTTCCTCTTCTGCTCAGCAAGAGGCCTTTTGTCTGTCAGTGGTGGGGGCAGCAGCGGGAAGGGGGCCCCCCTTCTTGATTGCAAACCCCCTGAAGAGGGGGCCCTCCGGGGGGCCCCCTGGGGGCCCCCCTGGGGTGCCTCCTGGGGGGCCCTCTCAGTATTGAGGGCCGCCAATGTCAGTCGGGGGACGCCAGAAGTTATGAGGGAGGCTCCAGTCGAGCTGTACGTGCAGCAGGGATCCAGCGGTGCTGCTGCTGCTGCTGCTGCTGCTGCTGCTGCTGTTGCTGCTGCTGTTGCTGCTGCTGCTGCTTCTGGGTTGAACGGCAGCGTTGACCTTGCTTCACTGCAGCAGCGCTGCCCCACAGCTTGAGGGGGGCGAGGTGTCTGCTTGTTGCTGCAGCAGCTGCTCGAGTGATTAGAGGGCCCTTCTGCGCCTGTAGGCTCCCCAGCTGCAGCAGAGGGGCTCCCCCGGACAGCTGGGGGGCCCCCAGGAGGGGGGGCCCCCTGCCGGAGGGCCTCAAGGTTTAGTATAGTGTTGAGGGTCTGGAGGCGTCTAAGGATGCGGCTTCCTATTGCTGCTGGGCTGTCGCATAAGGTGCTGCCACACAGGCGAGTCTCTGAGCTGCTGCTCTCTGCTGCTGCTGCTGCTACTGCTGCTGCTGCTGCTGCTGCTGCACCTGCTGGTGCAGCAGGACCTCGTGTAGAGGAGACAGCAACAGGAGGCAGCACTCTATCCGCCTTGACGCTGCCCCTCTCCCGCTGCAGCGCAGCCTCAATACCCTCAGAGGCCCCTGTTACGGTTGGTGTAAGGGGGGCCCCTTTGGGGGCCCCCATTGCTTCTGCTGAGGGTTGTTGTGTAGGCATAGGGGCACATGAATTGGAGCGGATGCAGCAAGAAGGAGACTGTTTGTTAGGGAGACAGCTGCTGCTGCTGCTGTGGTGCTGCTCAGAGTAATGGGGGCCCCCTAAGCATAGACAGCTGCAGTGAGGGCTGCTGCAGAAAGGATGCATGCAGCAGCTAACCGCCCTACCGCTGCTGCTGCTGCTGCTGCTGTAAGGCAGCGTCTCGTGCTGCGCTGTGCTGCAGGTGCTCTGGCGAGAGCCGATGTCTCGCCCCAACGCGAAGGGGCCTCCTGAGTGTGGGGTCTGGGGTGCATGCAGCAGCAGCTGCTGCTGCTGCTGTTGCTGTTGCTGCTGCTGCTGCTGCTGCGCTTCTTCGTGCTGCACTGCAGGCTGCATACCTTGCTGCTGCTGCTGCTGCTGTAGGTGCTCAGCAGCAAGGTGCCGGTGTATTGCTGCTGCTTGCCGTAGGCTGCGTCTTTGGACTGTGCATGCGCTGGCTGTCCTTCTATGCGCCTGAGCTACTGCTGCTGCCTTGGGGGCCCCTGGGGGCCCCTGTACCCCTGAAGGTGTTAGGGGCCCCAGGGGCCCCCCAAAAGGCCCCCCAAGGGGTCCCCCTAGGGGCCCCCCTAGGCGGCTGCTGCTGGAGTATCTATTGAGCCGTGGGTGCTGAAGGGCCCCAACAGACCTTACTGAGTTTGTGAGGGGCCCCTCAAGACCCGCTGCTGCTCGAGGGGGCCCCCATGGCTGTAACCAAGGGTACGGGGGCCCCCACCATGGGGGGCCCCCAGCAGAAAGCCGAGCGCCCCAGAAGGGCCCAGTGGTAGCGAAGGGGAATCCTGAAGGGGCCCATGAACGGGGGCCCTCTTGCTGCTGCTGCTGCTTTTGCTGCTGCTGCTGTAGCGTATGGGTCCAGGGCGCGATGAAGGAGCTACTTAGTCTCCGGTTGTAGGCAGCAGGGGAAGCAGCAGCAGCAGCAGCAGCTGCTGCTGCTGCTGCTGCTGTTGCTCCAGGGGTTCCCGATAGGGGTGCATATAAATATCTTCTTGCAGCCTCAAATGCAGTGGGGGTAGATAAAGGCTGGGGAGTTGTGAAAAAACTAACAGGTAAAGACGCAGGACCCATAGGGGCCCCTGGGGCCCCCGGAGGCCCCACGGGCCCCTGCATGGGGGGGCCCCATGCAATACCCTCTCTGTTTCTGTTTAGTTCAGCTGCTACTGACGGGAGGCGCTCAGGGCCCTTCTCTCCCTCCGTAGGATATCTGCTTACATCTCGGTACAGGGCGGGGGTCCCTGGGGGCCCCTTGGGGGCCCCTTGGGGTCTGAAACCTTCACAGCAATCAGCAGCAGATTGACACCCTGGGGGCCCCAGGGACTGGGGGGCCCCCCCAACGGGCTCTGGAGGCCCCTGGCTTTGGGAGGAAGACCGTCTGGGCTCTCCTTGAGCGATATTTGCCTCCATGAGGCTGTTGGGGAGCCACTGCTGTTGCTGCTGCTGTTGCTGCTGCTGTTGCTGCTGCTGTTGCTGCTGCTGTTGCGGCTGCTGCTGTCTATCAGGGGTATCTGTTCGTGTTGGTGTAATGAGGCGGCAACCGCTGAGGCGCCGCTGCATTGGGGGGGCCTCGTTTAAAGTTGCTTCGAAGTCCTCTGGCTGCAGCAGCTCTTCTCTAGCTGCATCTGCTGCTGCTGCTGCTGTTGGTGATAGTGCTGCTGCTGCGGAGTGTGGGTGCGTAACCTGCTTGTGCTGCTGCTTTTCTCTTTGTTTACGGGAAGCAACCAGCTGCTGCTTCTCCTGCTGCAGTTTGGGGCCCCCCAGCAGCACCTGTCGCTGTCCTGCTGCAGCATCATAGACAACCCTCAGCGTCTCTGGGGGCCCCCCTGAAGGTTTTGCTCGGGGGCTCCCTAAAGGGGCCCCCCAGGGGTTCACTGCTCCACAATCCTGTGCAGGCAGCAGCAGCTGTTGCTGCTGCTGTCGCTGCTGCTGCTGCTGCTGCTGCTGCTGGCAGCAGCCATTGGTTTCGAGTTCATCTAAGAAGGCTGTTGAAAAGAACAGGCGAGGAGAGTCGGTGGTGCTGCGTTTGAGGGGATCAGGGGCCTTACCCTTCCTCCGCAATGCTGCAGTCAGTGGGCCCTCTACAGAACTGGAGAGCTGCTGCTGCTGCTGCTGCTGCTGCTGCTGCTGCTGCTGCCGGTGGGAGTAGGCCAGAGACATATTTCTTTAGGTCTCTGGCTCTGTTCTTTTAGTCATTGAAAGGGTGTTTGATGCTGCTACTGTTATATTGTGGGTACGCAGTGCAAACTATATTTTAATGTATTCTTAGGGTCTCCTTTCAGCGGGTATATATATTATTAATCTCTTTGAGCACAAGGAGAGCCCCCCTGAACCTTCATGGAGGCAGCCTGAGACAAAAGAAAAGCAAGAAGAAGAACAGAAATTATCTGCCTTAGAGGTAGAGAACAATGCAAAGGAGATCAGCAGCTCTCGGGTGTACAGACACCTGAAGAGACACTGAAGTCTCTATCGGCGGGCCGGCCTGTAGAGGAAGGAGGGTTAAAAGGGGGTTTAAATATTTTAAAAAATTCTTTTTATTAATAATAATTTAATAAAATTGTATTATCATTTAAAATTAAAGTAGAAGAAATCTACAGACACCACAAAAGCCCCTAAGGGCTGACGAGGAGACCCGCATTTCGGCTGCGGCCTGCAGCAGAGAGTAGTCTATCTTTTGTGTGTTTTGTCTTCTTTTTCTAAATAAAAATATTATATTTATCCTTTGTGTTTATATTTACCCTAAGAAGGATTTAATTAAGCAGATTTTCAGGTGTATGTACACCTGGAAACCAAACAAATGCACACGGTGTGACCACGTGTCTGAAGCGATCAGAGTATTTTTCTGTATTTTATTTTCAAAACCCTGAAATAAATAAATAAATTAAGTCTTTTTATTTGTTTATTTTAAATACTTAATAATTCACAGAAAAGACACAAAAAAAACAAAGAAGATCGCCTCAATATACACTGCAAACACGCAGTAGACATAATAATTAACTCAATAATCATATACCCTAAACCCTAAACCCTAAACCCTTAACCCTAAACCCTTAACCCTAAACGAGACAAAGCCAGAGAAACACCAGCAAGCCCATTTACCCAGCGTTTGCTCCTGCTGCCGCCTCTGCTGCAGCTACTTCTGCTGCTGCGCCTTCTGCTGCTGCTGCTTCTGCTGCTGCTGCAGCTGCTGCGGCTCCTTCTGCTGCAGCTCCTTCTGCTGCGGCTGCTGCTGCAGCTTCTGCTGCAGTATCTATTTGACCCCTTAACAAACTGAGCCGGACGAACATATACCTCAAAACAATTAGCAAGGGGCGAACCCTATAAATATAAATAAATATAAATATAAATATAAATAAATATAAATATAAATATAAATATATATGCAAATATAAACATAAACATAAAAATAAACATGAGGGTTTGGGGGGCCCCAAAACCCTCATGGGCCCCTCAATCCCTCAAACCCCAGAAGGGGGCCCCTCTTCAAGGCTTGCGAAGAGATGTAAACTCTGCTTCACCGCTGTTCTGGCTAGTGGACCCAGCTAGCTGCAGCTAGCTAGCTGCCTAGCTACCTAAGTAGCTAGCTGGATAGCTAGCCAGCTAGCTAGGAGGGGGCCTAAACCCTAAACCCGAAGGGCAGCAAACTTGCTGAGAGGACGCTGAGCTGTGACGGCCGTACCCTAAACCCTAAACCCTAAAACCTAAACCCTAAATACTTATCCCCAAGCCCGGTAGCCCCAAGGCCCTGGTTAAATCCGTAAACCCTAAACCCTAAACCCTAAACCCTAAAGATAACAAGCGTGGTCGCAAATAATATGAGAAGAATAAGAGGGAGCATTTAATGAAGAAATTATCTAAACAAGAGTTGGGGTGTATTGTGCAGCAACCCGTTGCCTTTCTTCTGCTGTCTCCTGAGGGTTTAGGGTTTGGAGACAGTTTTCTAGGGTTTAGGGTTTGCTCTGTTTGCTCCCGGTGTATCTTCACCTCTCTTTTATTGTCGCTTTGTCTGTATTTCTTTGTCTCTTTGTTATCTCCCTCTATTTCTCTCTCGACAGATAAAACAACAACTCCAAATGCAGCAGATATCACCGCATACTCTATCCTGCTGCAGCTGCTGTTGCTGCTGCACCTGCTGCTGCTGCTGCTGCACCTGCTGCTGTTGCACCTGCTGCTGCTGCTGCTGCACCTGCTGCTGCTGCACCTGCTGTTGCTGCTTCTCAAGTGGCAGTTTGTTTGCATGAGTAATAAATAAATAATATTAAAATAATAATACCGGCAATGACAATGATAATAATAATAGCAGTAATAATAATACTAGAAACATAATAATAATAGAAATAATATATATGATTATATTATATATATTATATATTATTTAGAAGGGAGTAGTAATACTAACAATATAATAATAATAAAACCGTAACAAGAATATTATTAACATAATCTTAGGAATAACAATACAAATTAATAATAATAATAATAGCTATAATAATAATAATAACAATAGCTATAATAATAGTAATAATAGCTATAATAATAATAATAATAATAATAATAATAATAGTAATAAGCTAGTAATAATAACAAATGCACAAGGACAAACATAGAAGAAAAAAGCAAAAAGAAAATCTCTGAGCCTCATCGCCACCCCCTACTCTTATGATGCAGAATGCTGCTGCTGCTGCAGCAGCAACAGCAGCCGCTGCAGCAGCAGCAACAGCAGCCGCTGCAGCAGCAGCAACAGCAGCCGCTGCAGCAGCGGCAGTGTATAGCAACCGCTGCAACAGCCCCGGCGGCAGTACGAGGGGCCACCGGCTGCAGCTGCAGTAGCAGCAGCAGTTGCTGCTGCTGCTGCTGCTGCAACTACTACTACTGCTGCTGCTGCTGCATTGCATTACATAGGGAAAAAAGCAGGGATGGAGTTAAGTGTGTTAGGCTGTACATTTGTTTTATCTCCTAAAGCAGCAACTGCTGCTGGTAGCTGCTGCGCCTCTGCTTCCTGCTGCAGCCGGTACCGCATCCACCGCACACGAGCAGCAGCAGCTTTCTGAGAGCGCTGTCTTTCTGCTGCTGCTTCATCTAAAGGAGCAGCAGAACGATAAGGACGCGTGCGCTGCTTGCCTTTCTTACCCAAACCGCTGGGGGCCCCACAAGGGCCCCCCAGGGGCCCCCCTCCCCCTCCCTCCTCCAACGCTGTATCTGCTAACGGGGGCCCCCAAGGGGCCCCCATAGCCCCGAAAGGGGCCCCCTGCTGCATGCAACCTTGTGAACTATTCCAGTCACCCCAGGCAGTACCCTCAGCTGCAACTACATGCGGGGCCCCTGGGGGGCCCCCTGGGGGCCCCCCCTGGGGCCCTATCGCCATTGTACCCTCTGGGCTGGCGTTGAAATGGGGGTGAGAGGCAGAGCCCCTGCTGTTGGGTGGGAGAAAGGCTGCGTTCGGAGACACGGAAGCAGCAGCAGCAGCAGCAGCAGCAGCAGCAGCAGCAGGGAATCCTGCTGCTCCTTCAGCTTCTGCGTTGTGTGCGACAGCACGGAGCTGCTGGGGCCCCAATCTGGAGAGCGCAGCAACATCTGCTTCTTCTGCAGCTCCCCATACCCAGGGGGCCCTCTGCAGAAACTCAACTGCTGTCTCAGTACCTCTTACGGGGGCCCCTAAGACACAGAGCTGCTCCCCTAGCAGCAGCTGAGTAGCAGCCCACCGCCTAGCCTGCAGCAAGGAAGCTTTCTTCTTCAAGATATCTGCTTCAGAGTAAAAGAAGCAGCTTCTCTTTACAATGCAGCGTACACCCGAGGCCCCAGGGGGCCCCGGGGGCCCCGTAGAAGAAGGGCCTTGGGGGCCCCCCTCCCCTGAGGGGCCCCCGCTGCTGCAAGCCCTTGCCTCTTCTGCTTCGCCTATAGTCACTCTCCAGCGATTTGCATTTTCTTCCCAGACACAACTCAATAAAGAACGAGAACCTAATGAAGCAACAGCAGCAGCACTTGCTGCTGCTGCTGTTGCTGCTCCTCCTGCTGCTCCACCTCCTCCTGCTGCAGCTGCTGCTGACGGCTCCCCCGGTTCTCGAGGCTGCAACACCCAGCAGCTCCCGCAATCCAAAGGGCTAACGGGGGGCCCCCCTTGAGGGAAGCAGGGGCCCCCCCCCCAAGCAGCAGCAGCAGCAGGATGTTCATTCGTTGCTGACGAGGGTACAGAAGAGGTGTCTTCTGACCCCAAGCTGGAGCCTAAATGGCCTGTTTGATTGCCTTCTTGCTGCTGCTGCTGCTGCTGCTGCAGCTGCTGCAGTTGCTGGTGGTGATGATGATTTGCTGCTGGTTTGGGGGTTGCGCTCGTGTGTCTCTTTCGTTTGTTGCTGATTCTGTGCTGCACTGCGGCCTCTCCGCCCAGTGCCTCAACTGCTTCTGCTGCTGCTTCAGCAAAGTGGGGATGGGGGCAGCCTCCCCTCCAACCTCCCTGCTGCAGCAGCAAATGCCAGCGCTGCTGCCGCAGCAATCTGTCTCCTGGGGCTAGAGGCTCTCCTTCTACTGCATGCACAGCAGAGTCTCGAGGCTCAGGAAGCGGCAGCAAACCAAACACAACTGCAGCAAGGGCTGGGATCCGACTCCGAGACGGAGCAGGTGGTTGTGGGGTCAGCAACTCAGAAGCTAGACGGGCCTGCAGCAGCAACAGCAACAGCAACAGCAGCAACTGCAAATGCAGCAGCCGTAACTGCACTCGCGACAGCAGCACCAACCGCTGCAGGAGCGGCAGCACTAGCAGGTGCAGCAGCAGCTGCAGCAGCAGGTAAAGTGTAGACAAGCCACAAAACAACAGAAGAAGACAAAGAAGCAGAGGTGCCGATACACCCGAAATATCACAGAGGCCTCAATATACCCCCACGCTAGCAGCTTCACCAGCGTCAGCAGCAGCAGCAACAACAGCAGCAGCAGATTGTGTCTGCGGGCGATTAAATGAAGATGAGTACCTGAATTGCTAATATTTTGCTTTGATATAGACCATACTTGCGGCAGCTGAAGGTTCTGCTGCGGTTTTGCTGCTGCAGGCTCTGCTGCTTCACCCCGCTGCTGCCTGGTGAGGGGCCCCCCAGCCACTTTCCCCCAGTTGCTGGGGTCTTAGGGGAGGCCATTCCCTGCTGCTGCTGCTGCTGCTGCTGGTAGTGTTGTTGGTGCTCGTGCTGATGCATCTCGTGGTGCTGCAGTTCGTGCTGCTGCTCGTCGTGCTGCTGCTGCTGCTGCCGCTGCTGCTGCTGCTGCTGCTGCTGCCGAACTGGTGCTGTTCCTTCTCTCCAGAGACAGCGGAAGGCTAACTTACTTTTATCAAACTTCACTCCGTCTGGTAGAGTAAAGTCTACAAGGCCCACTCCAGCAACCTGCAGCAGCTCCTCCTTATATCCTGCTGCTGCTGCTGCTGCAGTAGCAGCAGCAGCTGCTGCTGCCATACACGGGGCCCCACCAGCACCAGCGCCAGCCCCGGAATCGAAAGAGGGGCCCCCAGACAGAGGACCCCCTGAAAGACGCGGGCTTGCTGCTGCAGCTGCTGCAGCTGCTGCTGCTGCTGCAGGTTCTTGGTTGAGGTTGAATTGGGTGGCTGGAGTCGCGCCCCCCGCAGCAGCAGCAGCAGCAGCTGCTGCTGCTGCTGCTGCGGGCGTTGCTTCCTTCTGATCCTGAGCCATATAAAGCTGCAGCAACATTCTGTTGCGCTGCAGCAGCGCTGTCTCCTCTGCTGGCAGCTCCCGGGCCCCTGCATCTGCAGCAGCAGCAGCAAGGCGGTCTCTAAAGGAGAAGGCAAGACCAACAAGATAAGACATAACTTCTCTAGCTGCTGGGGGAGACAGCCACTGTAAACAAACAAACAAAACAAACAGACACACACATCAACATCATATACTTAGTTATATATTTATATTATTCATAAGTATTAATATAATATATATATATATATATTTGTAAGGGTTTGTTCGTGTTTGTGCACCAGCAGCAGCAGCACCAGCAGCAGCAGGAGCAGCAGCAGCAGGAGCAGCAGGAGCAGCAGCAGCAACAGCAGCAGGAAGAGACAGCTTACAGAGGAGACATCGTTGGAGTACCCGCAGACCCAAGTGAGGAAATTTGAAAAGCAGAGAAGGCGCAGATCCCAAGTCAGCAAACAGTGCAGCTGCAGCAGCAAACGCATCAGCAGCAGCAGCAGCAGCAGCTGGAGACACACACTTGACAGCAGCAGCAGCAGCAGCAACAGCAGCAGCAACAGCAACAGCGGCAACAGAAGAAGCAGCAAACACGAAGAACAGGGGAGAGACAAACAGGCGAGAGACAGGAAAGTTATTTTGAAACAGAATAATCAAATAAAAAACAAAAGGAGACAAAAAGAGATAAAGAGAGACAGAAAAGATATTAAAAGATATCAAAAGATATCAAAATAAACAAAAAAAGGACAGAGAAAGACAAAGGAGACGAAAAAACAAAAGAAACAAAAGAACGACAAAAAGAGACAAAGATATTAAAAGAGAGTAAAAGAGAGTAAAAGAGAGTAAAAGAGATTAAAAGATATTAAAAGAAATTAAGAGAGACTAAAAGAAATTAAAAGAGATTAAAAGATATTAAAAGAGATTAAAGAGACAGGAAAGAGACAGAAAAGAGACAAAAAGAAAGAGTGCAGAGACAGCAGAAGGCCTCACCATGATATACAGCTCTGGATAATCAAAAATATTTATCACGGCGTCGCGGACCCTCATCACCTTCTGTACAAATGCACAAAGACCCCAAGCAGCAGCAGCAGCAGCTGAAGCTGCAGCAGCAGCAGCAGCAACTTCATCAGCAACAGCAGAGGCAGCAATGAAAAGAACAGCTGCAGCAAAAGAAACGGCAGCAGCCGAAGGCGAAGCAGCAGCAAACGCAGTATCCGCATAAACAGCAACAACAGCAGCAGCAGCAACAGCAACAGCAGCATCCGCATCAACAGCAACAACAGCAGTATCCGCATAAACAGCAACAACAGCAGCAGCAGCAACAGCAACAGCAGCAACAGCAACAGCAGCAGGAAGTTTACGTCATCTGCTTGAACAGCGAAGGTGGGCTCCAGCAGCGCATCATAGAGCAGCCTCAGTTCTTTCTTCTTCTCTGCATCTGCTGCAACTCCTAAAGAGGTCGGGAGAGGAGGCAGCAACCCCTGCAAAGCCTTTAATGCTGCATCCTGCAGCAGCAGCAGCAGCAGCAGCAGCAACAGCAGCAAGATAAGCAGCAATAGCAGTAGTAGGAATAGCAGCAACAGCAACAGAGGCAAAAACAGCAGTAGTAGCAGCAGCAGAAGGCGCAGCAGCAACTCTCATACGATATCCGAAACAGCCCCATCAAGAGCAACAAGCAGCAGCAGCAGCAGCAGCAGCATCAGCAGCAGCAGCAAATGCAGCAAATGCAGAGCCTCACCCGGTTTGCTTGTGAGTCATATAGCAGCAAAAAATCAACAGAGGAGGCGCCGCCTTTTTCAAAAGAAGAAGACGAAGAAGAAGAAGAAGATGAAGATGAAGAAGATGATGATGAAGATGAAGAAGAAGATGAAGATGAAGATGAAGATGATGATGATGATGAAGATGAAGGAGAAGGAGGAGATGAAGAAGAAGAAGAAGAAGAAGAAGAAGAAGAAGGAACAGCAAGAGGAGGCTCAAAAGATGAAAATGAAGAAGAAGGAGCAGAAGAAGAGGATGAAGATGATGATGAAGATGATGAAGATGATGATGAAGATGATGATGATGAAGATGATGATGATGAAGATGATGATGATGATGATGATGATGATGATGATGAAGGAGGAAGAGATGAAGAAGAAGGAGCAGACGGTGAAGAAGGAGGAGGAGAAGGAGGAGGAGGAGGGGGAGAAGAAGAAGCAGAAGAAGAGCAAGAAGATGAAGATGAAGATGAAGATGAAGATGAAGAAGGAGGAGGAGCAGGAGGAGGAGGGGGAGCAGGAGGAGGAGGAGGAGGAGGAGAGGTAGAAGAAGAAGATGATGAAGAAGATGAAGATGAAGATGAAGAAGATGAAGATGATGAAGCTGGAGATGAAGATGAAGAAGGAGAAGAAGGAGGCAGCTCCTCCCGCACATCCTCGCAGCCCCGCGTCAGCAGAGCGGCGGCCTGAGGAAGAGACAGCAAAGAAGAAAGCAAACAATAAAGGAGACAAACAGCAGCAAAAGGAGACAAACGGCAGCAAAAGGAGACAAACAGCAGCAAAAGGAGACAAACAGCAGCAAAAGGAGACAAACAGCAGCAAAGGGAGACAAACAGCAGCAAAAGGAAGTGAACAGTAGCCAGACAAGAAATAGTAAGCAAAAGGACGAGAAAGAAGCAGCAAACAGCAGAGGAGACACCGCAGCAAAATAAAAATATATACCGCATGCAGAGACTAAAGACGATAGAGAGAGACAGAGAAGCAAAGGCAGGCAAGGAGAGGTGAAACGCGTAAATAGAGGGGCAGCAACCCGAGGGACACAGAGACGCTGCTGCTGTTGCTGTTGCTGCTGCAGCTGCTGCTACTGCAGCTGCTGCAGAAGCAGCTGCTGCTGCTGCAACGCACCATCCGCAGCTGCCAGATGTCTCCTTTCTGTCTCTCCACAACGCGAATACCCCAGCAGCTGCTCCCTGAGGCTTCGCCCCCACGAGCAGCACACTCGCCTTCTCGGAGGCTGCTGCTGCAGCCGCTGCTGCAGCCGCTGCTGCTGCTGCTGCTGCAGTCGCTGCTGTTGCCGCTGCTGCTGCTGCAGCAGCCGCTGCTGTTGCTGCTGCTGCAGGGCCCAGTGGCCCCGTCGGTAGCGCCGCCTTGTTTGCCTTCCGTTCCAGTTGTTGCTGCTTCCCGCGCTGCATCTGCTGCTGCTGCTGCTGCTGAATCTGCTGCTGCTGCTGCTGGGTCTGCTGCTGCTGCTGCATTATCTCCAGCAGTTTCAGCAGCCCAGGCAGGAGGACTCCCAGGGAGCCCCTCAGCAGCAGGAGCAGCAGCAGCATCTGATGGTTTTACTGCTGCTGCATTTCGCCTTTCTCTTTGTCTTGTCTCTCCATCTGTACCCTCATGGGGGGCCCCTACCCCTTCCGCGGGGCCCCCTATGTGGGGGCCCCTCAGAAGGGGTAGGGGGCCCCCACATAGGGGGCCCCCTAAGCAGGGGGCCTCCTCTACAGGGTAGCAGGTATAGGGGGCCCTTGAGACGGGGGCCCTCGGCCAGGGCTTAGAGTTAGGGGGATCCCCTAAAAAGGGTGGAGCGTGGGTAGTGGGGGGCCCTGCTGCTGCTTGAAAGCAGCTTGAAGGGGCCCTCAATGCGTCTGCTGCCGCTGCTGCTGCTGCTGGTGCTGCTGGTGCTGCTGGTGCTGCTGCTGGTGCTGATGCTGCTGCTGTGCATCCTTTAACTCCTGCTGCATGCGGGCCCTCTTCTCCTGTGTCTGCAGGGCCCCCCTTGCAGCACTCCCCAGGTGTAATGAACCCATATCTGCTGCTGCCGTTGCACTTAGGGGGCCCCCCTGGCTTCCCCGCTGCAGCAGCACCAGCAGCAGCAGCAGCAACTGCTGCTGCTGCTGCTGGTTCGGGGGGCCCCTGGCCCCCACCCTGATGAACGCCTGCAGGGGGGGGCCCCAAGTGATGCTGCCACGGCAGTGCGTTTAAAGGGTAGGGGGCCCCCAGCAGAGCAGTATCTCTACGCAGCCAGCAGCCTTCAGAAGCAGCAAGATAGAAGAGGTCTCGCTGCTGCTGCAGCGCTTCCCGTTGCTGCCGAAGCTGCAGCAGCTGCAGCCGAGCGCGCACCTCCTGCAGCAACTCACCAGTGCCTCTGCTCCAATTGCTGTTCCTGCTGCTGCTGCTGCTGCTGTAGGGCGTTGCTGCTGCAGCTTTATCCCCAGATGCTGCTGCAGGATCAGCACCACCTGCTGCTGCTGCTGCTGCAGCTGCTGCAGCAGGTGTCTCCTCGTCTGTTAACCCCTCTTCCGAAAGGACTTCAGCAGCAGCTGTCTCCTCGGGCAGCAGCTCAGCCTGCTGCCGGAGCTGCGCATATTTTGCTGCAACTGCTGCTGTCTTCTGGCGGCTGCGGCACAAACACGAAAATACCTTCCGCCGACGCACCACAGTTCTGCTGCTGCTGCTGCTGCTGCTGCTGCTGCTGTTGCTGCTGCTGCTGGGTTGCGAGAGCGAGACAACGAAGGCGCTGCGCCTGCCATCAAAGGCGAGCTGCTGCAGCATCCAGGGGTTCCCTCCCAACGCAGGCCCCTTCTGCTGCTGCTGCTCCTGCTGCTGCTGCTGCTGCTGCTCCTGCTCCTGCTGCTCTTCAGGCCCGCTTGACTCTGTAGACAAAGGCGAAGAGGGAGGCGGGAGGGGGCAGCACTCTGAATCTGCTGCTGCAGCAAAGAGGGGGCAGTTAAGGGGCTCTACAACATCATCAGGCAGCACCGCAAGCGGCAGCAGCGTATCCACTCCTGCTGCTGCTGCTGCTGCTAACCCCTGCTGCTGCTGCTGCTGCTGCTGCTGCAGCAGCGAACGCGCTCCCCCGGTGCCCTCGCCTGGCTGAGAAGGCAGTGCAGCAGCGTCTGTTGCTGCAGCTGCTGTTGCTGCTGCTGCTTTGTCTCCCTTCGGAGTATCTTCTCTCTTCACATAATCTAAGCAGCACAAATTAAAAGCAGCAACAGCGCCGCGCCGCAGTTCAGCCCTCATCCGCTCTCTCAATTGCTGCTGCTGCTGCTGCTGCTGCTGCTGCTGCTGCTGTTGTTGCTGCATGTGCTCCTGAGGGACATCGGCACGCCCTGTTGCTGCTGCTTCTGCTGCTGCTGCTGCTGGGGCCTCCGACTCAGCCTGCCTCGCGAGCAGCAGGAGCTGCTCCCGGCTGCTTAGTATTTGCTGCAGCAGCTGTCTCCTTCGGTCTTCGGTCCCTTGCTGCTTCACATGCTCCTCTGCTGCTGCTGCTGCTGCTGGTGTGCCTAGTGAGGGGGCATCTACCGTCTGTAGAGGCCCGCTGCAGGCGAGGAGACAGCTTTCTTCTTTAGTTGCTGCTGGCTGGGTCTTGCTGTCGGGTTTGTTTCCCTTTGCTGCTGCTGCTGCTGCTGCTGCTGCTGCTGAAGAGGCACCCCGCTGCAGCTGCTCCACCTTATCTGCCGCTGGCTGCGGGAGCACTGAATAGATGGTTGTTCCTGCTGCTGCATGCTGCTGCTGTTGCTGCTGCTGCTCGTCTTCCTGTTGCCCTGTTGCTGCTCTGCACACTTTTGCTGCTGCTAGCGGCAGCAAACACTGCAGCAAGCCGCTTGCTTCTCCTGCAGACAGTAGCTGCTGCTCTCCTTCTGTCTGCAGCAGCTCGCAGGGAGGCGAGTTGCAGCCATCAGAGGGGCCCCTAAAAGGGTCGTTCAAGGGGCCCCCTAGGGCCCCCAAGGGGGCCCCTTGGGGGGCCCCCCAGGGGCCCCCCAGGGGGGCCCCTAACGGGGCCCCTAGGGCCTCCCAGGCCTCTCCTGCTAGTAAGGAGAACTGCGCAGTGACAGCTTCTTGAAGAGGGTAAAGCGCTTCTGAATTGCTGCAGCAACTTCGCTGCCACTCGATACCCAGGGGGCCCCCAGGGGCCCCCTCATAGGAAGAAGATGAAGGAAGAGAAGCCTTTGATCTTAAGAAAGCAGCTAAACCATTTATCTCAACCTCCAGCCATTTACTTAGCTCTGGGGGTAGTAAGCATTGCAGCAAACGGGGTACGGCATCTGCTGCTGCTACTGCAGCTGCACCTGCTGCTCCTCCTGCTGCTCCTGCTGCGATCTCGCTGCTGTCCGCTTCTACCCTCTGCACATTCAAAGCAGCAGCAGCAACAGCAGCTGATGGTGGGGGCCCTGGGGAGGGGGGGCCCCCAGGGCTCTTCATCCGGCCGTCTGGGGCGCCGCCTTAGAGGGGCCCTGCTGGGGGCTCTCTTGCGGTGTACATACACCTGAAAGCCCTCCTAGGGTGTACAGTTGCGAGCAGCAAAGCAGGTCCTGCTGCTGCTGCTGCGGCCGCTGCTGCTGCTGCTGCTGCTGTTGCTGCGCTGCAGCACAGCGGCCTGCCCCGGGGCAGCCGGGGGAGCCTCAGGAGTTCTAGGGGCGATATAAAGAAGTTTATAGAATAACTTTAACTTATTTCTTCATTCAGAAGTCTCTGCAATTGTAATAGACGCCTCAGGTGTACATACAGTTCAACTCACAGAGCCCAGGGGCCCCCTCCCAGCCGACCGCCCTCACACCTCTGCTGGGGGCCCCCCAGGAAGCAGCTCAATCTCTTCCTTCTTTTTCTCTCTTTCTCTCTCTAATTTAATTTTCAATAGATATTTAAAAGTATATTCTACACACACAAAGGGGGGCGGGGCCCTCCTGCTGCAGCTGCCCTCAGTCGCAGCACCCTTTGCTGCTATTCGTCAGGGCCTCCTCCCCTCCTTACCCTGGGGGCCCCTAATGGGCGTCTAGGGGGCCCCTAGGTGTCTGTTAGGGGGCCCCTAAGGGGCCCCTAGGGGGTCCCTGAGCGGCAGCTATGGGGCCCCTGGGGGTCCCTGACTCTTTCTTTGCTGGTCTATGGAACCTTAGGGGGCCCCCCTACTGCGTAGACAGAGGGCCCCCTAGCCCCCTATCACCCTTATTCATAGGCAAGGGGCCCCCTAAGGGTCAATAAGCCAGCAAGTAAAGAATCAGGGGCCCTTAGGGGCCCCCGAAGGGCCCCGTAGGGCCTCAGGGGCCCTCAGGAATAGGGGCCCCTAAGGGTTCCTAAGGGGCTGCTACTCCTTAGGGGACCCTACTCCGCAGGTAAGCAGTGTGACGCAGCGGCAGCAGCTCGGAGGAAGTCCGAGTTGGGGGGCCCCTAGGGGCCCCCAGCAGCCCCCATAGGGGCCCCCAGCGGTCCGCAGGGGGGCCCCCAGCGGCCCCCAGGGGCCTCTGAGTTTGATTGATTGGTAAAGTGAATGGCTACGAAGACAGCGGGGAGTTGAAGGGCAGTGGTGTTAACAGCGATATGCATGCATCTGTAGATACACTTGAGGGGCCCCCAGGCGCATGGGGGCCCCCTTCTCTTTCTGTTGCTGTTTAAAGCGAGTGTATAGGCACTAAAAGAAACACTTCTAAGGATAGAAGGGGCATCTGCTATCATAGATTAAGAAAGGAGGGAGGGGCTGCAGCTGAGACGCAGCTGGCTACACCCAGCTAGCTACCGCCAGCTAGCTAGCTACGCCAGCTAGCTGCCGGAATGCCCTGGGGCTTTCTGCTCAATCGCTTCAAATAGTAAGCCCTTATGCGTAGCTAGCTAGCTAGCTAGCCATGCAGATCTACGATCTGTCAACAGCTAGCTGGCAGGCATACAGAAATGTGTGTAGATAGCTAGGCACGAAGATAGCTAGCTGCAAAGACAGTGCGGTTGCTAGCCATACACACGGGTCTGCAGGTAGCTAGCTATTGTAATTTGTGCGCAGCTAGCTATCCATGCGTCTACATCTAGCTATCCAACTGCAAGTGTCTGCAGCTAGCTAGCTACGCATACATGTGCAGCTAGCTAGCTAGCTGCACGTGTAGCTAGCTAGCTAGCGACAGGTTTTGTGTGGCTGGCTAGCCATCAGTTGGAAGGGGCGCTGCCTCAAGGCAGAGAAGAAGTGTTGGGGTGTATAGACAGCTGAGAAGCCCTTCTCTTTTTTATATAATAACTGTCTGCGCATGCAGCCACCACATAGAGGCTTAGTTACATACACTTTAATGCATTTAATGCATTAAATTTGTTTGTGTATATGTGTTAAGGAACTCGGAAGAAAAGAAAAAAGAAAGTTGAATGCATGCGTTGCTATGGGGCTTGAGGGTTTGAGGCCCTCTCCTTTCTTCTTTTATTTATTTAGATTTGTTAAGGCTTCATAATCAAACGTATTTATTGTTTTTCTTTAGGTCGGCTCGCTGCCTCGTTGCAGTGGCGCCTTTGATAGTCTACAATCAAGCGAGGGTTTAGGGTTTAGGGTTTAAACACAACACCTGCACCCTTCTGTTATGAGAAACAGAAACACCAGCAGGAAGACTAAGTTGGTAATACTCCCCATCTGTCTGTACACCCCAAACACAAAAAAAATTAAAAAAGAAGCTCTATTAAACAACTATAGCCGCCTTCATAGTATTATTGTCATGAATAATAAATAAAACAAACAACAGCATAAAGCAAATAAAATAAATAAAACAAACAACAGAATAAATCAAATAAATTAAAGAAAATAAACAAAATAATAAATAAAATTAATAATGTAAACAACAGAATAAATCTAAATAAAATAAACAAACAAGCAATAATAACAATACACCTGAAAGTAAACGAAAACAAATTTAAAAAGCAGCAGAACAAAGCCAACGAAATAAACAAAATAAACAACGGACTAAATAAACAAATAAAAAAACAAAAGAATAAATAAACATATTAAATAAAATTAACAGAAAAAATAAAATAAACAAACAATAATATAAAACAATTCACCTGAAAGTAAACAAAAACATATCTAAAAACCCATTGAAGAAAACAGCAGAACAAAGGCAACAAAATAAATAAAATAAATAAAATAAATAAAATAAACAAACATTAAAATAAAACAAATTACTTGAAAATAAACCCTTGTCTTCTCTTCTAAAGATTTGAACGAGACCTCCCAAGGGCCGCTCCCGCTATATAGGCGAGAGCCTCTCCCCCGAACCATCTGCAGCAGAATAAACATAGTTAAAATAAATAAATAATTAATTATTAATCAATAAATTATTTATATATGTGTTTATTTATCATAATATATACTAATTAATAAACGCATTCATACGTACTAGATAAACCATCTACAACACAATAAAAATAAATAAAACAAATAAATAATAATTTATAAATAAAACAAACAAATTAATAAACAAACAAATAGATTAATAAAACGCCTGAGAATGAATTAAAGGATTGAAAGGGAGGCAAACATTTCTTATAAATATAAATATTTATATTTATATTTATTATATATCTATATTCTTGTAAATATAAACAAAGAAACGAAACAAGAGAATATATTATACGACAACAAAACAACAAAAACAGACAAATAAAACAAAAGAAATATATTAAACAAATTAAAATTTTAATTTTAAAGGAGATAAAACTAAAAAAACAAACAAACAAAAGAAGAAAGACATCCTATAAACAAAACCCTTAAAAATAGATGAGCAGATAACAGCAGAGGGATAGAATAAACAGCAAACAATAAAAATAATATAAAATAAATAAAGAAGAGCTCCTCATAGACAAACAAAACCCTAAAAAGAAGCAGGGTAGCCACACAAAGAAAGAAAAACAGTAGAAGATGCATTTATATATTGTATATATATTTAAACCCACCGCAGCAAACAAACAAAACAAGTAAATAAATAAACAGGTAAACAAATAAATAAATAAATAAATAAATAGCTAAAAAAATGAAGGAACGAATAAATAAATAAACAGACAAACAAGTAAACAAACAAACAAGCAAACAAACAAATTAAATAAATAAATAAATAAATAAATAAATAAATAAATAAGTTTAGAGACATACAAACTCCAGCCCCAACGAGGGGATATCGCGAAATGTCATAAACTCTAAACACTCGTCGCCCATTTGCTGCGGCACTTGCAGCAGCGCCTGCAAACAAAACAACAACAGCAGCAGCAGCAGCAGCAGCAGCAGATACAGCGAGAGCTGCAATAGCAGGTACAGCAGCAGCCGCACCAGCACGTACAGCAACAGCTACAGCAGACACTGAAACAGCAGCAGAAACTGCAGCAGATGCTGATGAAGCCAGCGCAGCTACTACAGCAGCAAGTAGAGCAGCAGCTGCAGCAGCAGGAACGGGCTCAGCAGCATCTGCATGCTAGCTTGATTATTGCTGCAATTTAATATGATTAGGGTGTATATACTCGAGCCTCTTGCTGCTTCTCTTTGTTTGGTTGTGAGGTAGCTAGCTTCTTTGACGGCGCCCAAATATCATTGCCCCCGCTGAAGCTCGGGATGTTCAACAGCACGAGAGAGGCTGTCTCTGCAATAATAAATAAATAAATAAATAAATAATAAATATATGGTGCTGCTGCTGTTGCTGCTGCTGTTGCTGCTGTGGAGGGTGAGGAAGCAGGGTGATGCTGCTGCAGCGCGCAGGAGAGTTGCTGCTGTATTTTGGCCTGGTGTTTCTGCTGCTGCTGCTGCTGTTGATGCTGACGGTGTATTTGCTGCTGCAGCTAATGGTGTTGCTGTTTCTGCTGCTGCTGCTGCGGTTGAGGCGTGGCGCGTATTGTGGTCTGCTGCTGCTGCTGTTGCTGCTGGCCGTGTATCTGCTGTTGCAGCTAATAATATTGTTGTTGCTGCTGCTGTTGCTGCTGCTGCTGCTGCAGTTGCTGCTGCTGCAGTCGAGGCGTGGCGCGTATAGTGTTGTGGGTTGCGTGTTTAGTTTGGGTATCGATATAGTTGCTATTTTAGTGGTTTTGTTTGTTTATTATTTATATTTATTTACTTTTAAGAAGAGGAATTTGTTTTTCTTTAGCCTCTGCTTTGTCTGTTGTAAACAGAATCTGCTCCTGTGGGGTGTTGGGGTGTACACGCAGGTGTTTGATAATATCATTGATGCTTTTAGTTCGAGTTAGAAATGTCTTCTTAAAGCCTTCAATGCCGTAGCGCTGCATGCATGCACACCAAAGAAAGCAAACAAAAAGATAAATAGCAACAGCAGCAGCAGCAACAGCAACACAAGCAGCAGCAAACAGCAACAACACCACCACCAGGGATAGCAGCAGCAGCAGCAACAGCAGCAGCATCAACCCCAGCAACAGCGGAAGTAGCAGCAACAGCAACACCAAAACCAGCAGCAGCAGCACGAGCAGCAGCAGGCGAAGTCGGCATTTGGGGCTGGCAACTGTGAGACAATGAAATGAGAGAAGCAGATAAAAACAAACAAACGACGAAAAGAGAGACAAAGATAGCCAAAAGAAGACAAAGAAAGACAAAAAAGAAGATGAAACAATTAAAAAAAGCAGCAAAGACAGACAACCTTCCCTGCTTTCTAGGGTTTAACCCGTACGGCCTAGGGTTTAGGGTTTAGGGTTTAGGGTTTACCATTTTGTTGAAGACCTGAGACTTCGTGCGGTGTCTGTCAAACCCTCGCCCAATGCGGCTTTCAACGCCCATGCTGAAATAATTACTCATTGTAAACCCTAAACACTCAACTGGCTCCCCCTCCACCTTCACCACTTCCTATCACACAAACCCTAAACCCTAAACCCTAAACCCTAAACCCTAAACCCTAAACCCGGAACACGAAGTTCAAAGCCATAGCCCTTTGACCCGACGCACTGTACCCTACAATCTAAGCACTGAACTCTAAAACCAAAACCCTAAACCCTAAACCCTAAGTATGATGAGATAAACCGTAAACCCTAAACCCTTAACCCTGAACTCGAAACCCGAACGTGGGTTGTGTGCAGTGTTGCATGAGGTATTTCAAACTTGAGGGTTTAGGGTTTAGGGTTTAGGGTTTATGAGGACCTTCTTTCTCGTATTAGGGTTTATCCTGCTGAACTGCCCTCCGGGCCTTAAAGACACCCGAACAGACCACAGGTCATGATAGACAACGCGCGCCTTCATGCTGTGCTCTACGATGCTGCGCAGCCTAAGAGCAGCAGCAGCAACAGCAGCAGCAGCAAGCAGCAAAAAGCAAATCAGACAGCAGCACCATGCTGTTTATGCTGCTGCTGCGGCTGCTGCTGCTAATCTGGCTGCTCCTTGTCAGCAAGGCTGCTGCTAATAGTGCTGCTGCTGCTTGCGCTGCTGTTTCTGCTTGTGCTGCTGCTGCTGCTAGTAAGGCTGCTGCTCGTAATAAGCCAGTCGTTGGTGCTAATGGTGCTGCTGCTACTGCTGCTGCTGCTGCTACTGCGGCTGCTGTTACTGCTGCTGCTGCTACCGCTGCACCGAGCAAGCAAGGAACTGCGGCTAGCGGCTGTCCTGACGTCCTCTCTTCTCCTAAACCCTAAACCCTAAACCCTGAAAGACAACTCACGTGTGCAGTGAGGAGTCGAAAGGATTCGCAGCGTTGAACGGCCGCCACCCAAACGCATTGGCGAAGTCGTTGCCTGCAGCGCCTCAGAAACCCTAAACCCTAAACCCTAAACCCTAAGCCCTACCCCTAAACCCTAAACCCTAAACCCTAATGACAATCGTTTCGCGGGATAATCTGCTTCACCCCCATACGGAGCTGCACCCCGATAAGCATACGCCCCGCCACCCTCAGCATCAAACCCTAAACCCTAAACCCTAAACCCTAAAACCTAGTTTTGTTTTACCTGTCCCATAGGGTACAACTCCTACTGCACAGACATGAGGAGGGACCCCTGTCTTTTGCATTTCTTCTAAACACCACATCACAGTGCCGTCTCCTCCTGCTACGAGAACGCGAATGGTTTGTTGAGTTGGGTGTTGTTCGGCGCTGCTGCTGCTGCTGCTGCTGCTGCTGCTGCTGCTGGTGCCTTGTACCCTCTCTGCAACAGCCTTCAGCAGCAAAAAGCCTGGCTTGCTGCCGCTTGCTCCCTCTCTTATATCATGAATAATCACCTTCACCTTAAAGGGCTCCCTCAGAGTTAAACGCGAGACGGCGGTCTGTTAAAGAGAAGACAGAAAAACATAAAAAAACAAACAAAGACAAATTAAAATAAAGTAAATTATATTATATTGAATTAAAACAAAAGAACAAAGACAAACTAAGATAAATTAAATTAAAGAAAAAACAGAAAAAACAAACAAAGGCAAATTAAATTAAATTAAATTAAATTAAATTATTAAAGAGATGAAAGCAAACAAAAAGGAAGGAGAGGGAAGAGAAAGGCAGGAAAACACAAATAAATAAATAAATAAATAAATAAATAAATAAATAAAGGCATGCAAATAAAGACGAACAAACAAACAACGAAATAAATAAACAAATAAGCAAACGAACAAACACCAATAGAGACAGCGAGACAAACAAACAGACAGACAATGACAGAGAAACAAACAAAGAGTGAAAAAAGTAAAGGAAGACGAAGAGATAAACAAAGAAACAAACAACAAAGACAGATAAATAAAGATAAATAAAGGCAAGGAGACATAAAGAGAGACAGAGAAGGACAACGCTACACAGAAACAAACAAACGAACAAACAAAGAGATGAAGAGAGAGACAGACAGACAGAGAAGTAAACACAAAAAGAGAAAGAGACGGAGACAGAGAGAGACAGACAAAGACAATGAAACAACCAAGGAGAGACAGCAACAGAGACAGCAAAGAGAAGGCCCACTCGCGTAAAGGCAGCCGCTTTGTTGCCTCCGCTCGTAGGGTTAGTAAATATAAAGACATGATTAAGAGCAGCATCTCCTTCTTCTGCTGCTTCTAGTGCTGCTACAGCTGCTGCCGCAGTCTTGGCTGCTGCGGCGTCTGCTGCCGCTGCTGCTGCGGCTGCAGCGGCCGCTTCCCCTGCTGCGGTTGCTGCTGCTGCACTCTCGGCTACAGCACGTCTTGCTGCTCCTGCTGCAGCTCCTGCTGCTGCCTCTGGTGCAGCAGAAAATGAGGGGCCCAGCTGTATCGACGACTCCTGAGGTGTATGCCATGAGACTTGCTGCGGAGAAGGAGATGCGAGATGCCCGCGGGCATCGTGTTCTTCCCCTGGGGGCCCCTGGGGGGCCCCCCCCGAAAGACTCGTCTGATCCTGCCCTGCGGGGCCTGAAGTGGGGGCCCCTGAAGAGGGGTTGCTACTGGGCACTGAAGAGCCCCGTGGGGGCCCTAAAGAGACCTCTGGGGGCCCTAAAGAGGCCCCTGAATGCCTTGAAGAGGCCCTCTGGGGCACTGTTGTTGTGCTGTCTGGGTTTAGAGTTTGCCGGTGCATGTCTTCTTTAGTCGCGGAATGAAAAGGTGTGTTTAGGGTGGGGTTGGAGGGAGGCGCAGCAGACTCACAGGGCCCCGACGAGGCCCCCCCTCCTCTCTCTGTAGACACCATACTGAATTGGTGGGCCCTCCCCTCCCCCCCCCCTCAACTGCGTGCACCTCGAGGGCCCTCGGGGCCCCTCCACC